CCACCCTTCCCAAGGTCCTTCCCGCAGTTCCTAGCCACCCTTCCCCAGGTCCTTCCCGCAGTTCCTACCCACCCTTCCCAAGGTCCTTCCCACAGTTCCTACCCACCCTTCCCCAGGTCCTTCCCATCCTGCCGCTCCGCAGGGCCGCCTGACATTTGCTCAAGGAATGCAAATGACAGGGGCTGCAAAAGGCTGTTTATAAACAGTCGGGAGCTGTCGACATAGAAAGAGAATTACAAAAATATATTCACTGTGGCATAAACAGGTAGCAGGGCATCAGCTCCAATTATATTGTATCGCTACGCAGCATGGACCGGTTGCGAATTCAGCTGCTGCTGCAGGTCTGGAATCGCATTTGCCGCTAGTGTTAGCCAGGGGATGTTGATAAAGCTCTTCATTTATATCCTCCGAATGAGCAAGACCCGGGCAGGCCAGACTGTGACGACTGATATAGTTAAATATATATATATATATATAGTTCTATAATTGCCATAATCCAGTGTTTGTTCCTAAATATTTAAACAACCCTGAATTTTTGCAGGACTTCCAGTCCGATAGCAAAAATTAGGTGCTGAAGGAAAAATGCTATCCTACTAGTGCCAGACTGACAGGAAGAACAGGACTAAGCCAAGCTTGGGGATTTTGCCYGCTGCTATGGAAAGTACAGGGTTTCTGCCTTTACTTACTCTAAATTACTGCTTCCCTTCAAGCATATTTTCCCCAGCAGTACCTCTCCAAGCTGTCCCACTGGAAATCAGTGTAGTTAATTTTGACGAACTGAGGGTGGCTCGTGCAAGCATTAAAAGGAATAAAGGCGAGCCAGGTCATCATCACCTTTCTTCTTCCCCTCTTTCTCAAACTCAGTGCAATCTTTAAAAGCCAGTTTAGTTTCATTAATGCTAGAAATCTCACCCTCTCCTCCCACAGTAATGTAGTATTTTAACAAGAAGACGACAAGTGTTTGATACCTTGAAGCTGAAATGTCACAAGCTGAACCTGGAAATAAGATTCAGCAACCTAATACTGAGGATAATTAAACTGGGGAGCAGCCAGGAGGCTCCTGGGGTCCTGGCCACGTTTGGAGTCCTCAGCACAAGGTCCAAGAGCTTTCTAAATGCCACGGTTTGWCTTGGCTCTTTGGAGACATTCTTGGGCTTGGGTAGAAAGAATGAACAAAAATCTGTGTCCTTGGGGTAGGGGCACAAGGGGAAAAATTAAGACTGTTTGCATTACTCTCAAAATCCGTACAACATTCCTGACCTAACTCAGACTGTTACCGTGGTCAGACCAGTCGCACGCTTTAGATGTCAGCCGGGCACCCATGAGGACAAGAAGGTCCTGTGAGGACCTTCCCTTCCCGATGGGTGGCCTTGGCTCCAGCAACAGGCTGGCAGTGTTCTCCCTGACCACCACCACGAGCAATCACCCAAGGTARGAGACGCTGTGAAAACCACCATGTCTTGGGCTTGATTGCTCATTACAAACTCCAGGGAGAAACTACAGGTCCGCTTCCGTTCCTTCAGGGAAAAGACCTTCAGACCCAGAAACCCAAAGGAAAAAGACATCTTTGCTAGAAGACCCCAGCCCCAAAGCCTCATGCTACCTTGAAATCACCCTGCTTACACGCTACTCTCCTGCTCAGCTGCTCAGCAGATGAGCAACCTTTAGGGGGAGCGGCGGCAGCTCCGCACGGGCGCCGTGACGAGCACCACGTCTCGTCTCCTCCCTTGCCGGGGCTTGCTGAGCTGCTGCCAGCACGTCACAATTTCTCTCTTTACACAGACAGATGCAAAAACGCGAGGCACTTTCTCGACAAGTGCTGTATCAATTCCTGCCCAAAGCCTCCGCTGTAAGTCACAGTGCTGATTGCCCTGAGATGTTTTACAAATACAAACTCAGGGTACATTTCTCAATTAACAACATAAATCTTATAAACTCTTGGGGCTTAACCATCACTTCCACATACTCTGATTACAGCAGGACTGTTCCCTGCAGACCAGGGTTTTGGAAGGCAACGTGTGGGCAAGGAGACACGCAGCCCAGAGCCTCCAGCTCCCCAGGCAACCCCAGAAAGCAGGTGAATTCCCTGGCACTACATTTGGAAGAGCTTTAGACCTTCCTCGGGAAAGGTTTCTCAACACTAAGATGTAGACAAGACTGAGAGGTTGGCCTATCGCTGGTGTTGATGCTGATGGCCAGGAGAGCCAGCTCCAGGGAGGATGAGGTGTGGAAGGACGGGCAAGCCCCGGCTCCTCAGCTATGCTACAGATCAGGGGTTTCAGCTCAGCTCTAGAAGGGTCCCCGAGTTACAGACCCGATTCTAACAGCTGACGGGTACCAAGCGCCACATGCCCCATGAAGAAAGGCTCAGAGCATTTGCAAACGTTAGTCACATTAAGATGAATCAAATAATTTTTGGTTCATCATCATTTAGGGCAGCCTCTTCAGGAGTAAAAACCCTGCGACACATTGGGTAGGTTTCCAAAACCTGTAAAGAATTAATAAAAAGATGATGGAGAGCTACAGAGAGCAGAATGCAGCAAGCTGCAAGGTTTGACTGCCAGGGAGCAACCCGGCGCGCCAGGCAGCCCTGACGAACGCATGGACTTCAACACGGTGACTCATCTGAGCAACTGGCAGGTCTGTAAACATCCTCTGAACTGCTGCAGTAATCCCAGGTAGAAGAGAAAACAAACAGTTTGGAATATTTACGTAAGRGACTACAAAGTGTGCTGCATTACTGAGCAAGCACAGAGAGGAATGGGCAGTGGGGAGAATTTCAGCTCTCGCAGTGTGGGAGAACATTAARGGTTATAAAACTGAATGGGAATAGGTCTAGAATAACCACAAAGAACATTATTGATTGCAATGACTTGAAGTAGATTTGTGGAAAACAAATGTGGACAGCCTTGTACCCAAATGTTTATGAGTCACTTAAAAGTACGAGAGCTGCAAAATGTGAATAACTATCACATAAACCCAGTCTCCAAAGCATTGCTGCACACATTCAAAAGGGAGTGCATAAAAAAGACAGAAAGATAGAGGAAAAGGTATAGCATAATCGTTCTGAAAAGTTGAAAACACTTCATAAGGCAACAGTTATTTTCCTCACCTTTATCACTGGCCAATACTTTTCACCAAAATCATAAAATGAAAATCAAGGCATTGAAAGGCGAGTAGAGAAAATGCCCTTTTATTAGTGACAGCTTCTTCCTCAAGGGTAGAAATTGAGCTCATCTGAAAAAAAATATTTTTGCTTCCTCAAGCTGCTCTGTGATTCCTGGGAGATTTTGTCCTCTTGGGAAAAGGCAGACGAGTGAACACCCTGCAACACCATCCTGCTCAGCACTTCAGGAGGCACAAACCCAGCACRCTGCAAATCCAGCCCTCCTGATCATGCGGTCATTTAATATATCATGGCTTTCAGAAAATGGAGGAGATGCTTTTATGTAGTCCTGTCTATCCACATTATTTTTCCCCTATTGTCTGGCAATGAACTCTTTGAAACAAGTACCCCTTTTCCTTTGAGAACCAAAGACATTGGAGCGTGACTGAATGCACTTTCCCATTTTCAATAAGTGCAGAAGCTCCAAACATACAACAGCTCCTGCAGAATCAATTTCTTGCTAAACAGGTACCATTAGGTGCACTGTTCATCTATCAGATCAAGGACATTAACTTCGGAGTCCAATCTTTCTCTTATTTCTTTGTTTTCTTTACTCCAAACACATTAGTTTAATGGCTGCACAGGCGCTGTGTATTAGCACTAATTGAGCGCTGACATGTGTGAGAATGCAAGGCATGAAGTGCATCCA